CCTGAGAGGCAGCCAGCTGAGTTTCTTTTCATTTGATGGGGAGAAGTGAAAAAAGAGAGCAAAGAAGAAAAAAGTGTCTTATTACCCTAAGGAAAAGGGAGATTAGGGGTGAAAATTATTTGTGAGTACGTGATTAAGTATATGTGGGTAGACATTTGACCAAAGATTTCAGTGGATAACGAGGCCTGGGCATATGTTCTATATCAAATCCCCATTTACCAACCTGAGTAAATAAACCTTCTAGGGGTTATGCTACTAATCTAGCAGGCTGGCACCATTTTCTTATTTGAAAGCACATGTTGTTGTATCAGTTATTTCAGTCCAACTCTTCATGATCCCATTTGGGTCTTTTGTTTTGTTTTGTTTTTTGGCAGAGATACTAGAATGCTTTGTCATTTCCTTCTCTAGTTCATTTTACAGGTGAGGAAACTGAGTCAAACAGGGTTAAGTGACTTGCAAAGGGTCACACAGCTAATAAATGTCTGAGGTTATATTTGAACTCAAGTCATCTTGAATACAGGCCCAGCACTCTCCACTTCATCACCTAGCAGCCCACTGCAAGCATACAGGATAGAATATATTCCAAGGGAGCTTTGTTTTGTTTTGTTTTTTGAACACATTTTGAACCTCTGTGGTATCTCTCTTTTTTCCCTTTTTTTCTTTTTTTTTGTTACATTAATATATATTTATGGAATAAAATAAGCATTTCTATAACACAGAACAATAAAAAAGATGATTGTATATGAAACTGCAAATATACCATGAACAAATTGCTATTACTTTCAAATATACAACAAAATTATCATGTAAATTTTTTTTCTCCTTTATTTTCTCCACTTTCCCCACCCTGCCCTAAAGATGGCTACCATTAGACACAAATATGTATATGTGTGTGTGGATGTATGTATGTAAAATTATTTTATATATACTTCTATTTATCAGCTCTTTCTCTGGATGCAGAGAGTATCTTTCCTTATATATCCTTTATAGTTAATTTGGGTATTTATAATAGTCAAAATATTCACTCAAAGTTGTTCTTAAAACAATATTGCTGTTGCTCTTACTGTATACAATGTTCTCTTGGTTCTGCTCATTTCACTCTTCATTATTTCATGTTAAGTCTTTCCATGTTTTAAGATCATTGAGTTCATCCTTTCTTATAGCACATCACAATCATATGCCACAACTTGTTCAGCCATTCTCCAATTGATGGGCATCCCCGCAATTTCCAGTTCTTTGATATCACAAAGAGAGCTACTATAAATATTTTAGAACAGATAGGTTCTTTTCCTTTTTCCCTAGTCACCTTTGGAAATAGACCTAGTAGAGGTATTGTTAGGTAGTTTAATGACTCTTTGGTCATAATTCCAAATTGCTCTTCAAAATGGCTGAATCAGTTCACCATTCTACCAACAATGAACTGATACCCTAATTAGAGCTTTGCTAAGAATTAGTTGAGGTTGAAGCTTGTAAATAAGCAGTTTTCCAAAGGAAGAAATCCATTCTGTCAACAACCACACACACATACAAAAAGTGCTCCAACCATCAGACCAACTAAAATGACAAAAATGATGATTGTTTGAAAGACTGCAGCAAAACAAGCACACTAATTCACTGGAACTAAGAATTGGTCTAGCTACTCTGGAATTTTGAAACTATGCTCCAAGTCACTAAACTGTGCTTACTCTTTGATCCACCATTAGGCCTATACCCCCAAAGGGATCAAGTAAGAGGAAAAGGACCCATTTGTACAAAAAATATCTAAAGAGCTCTTTAAGTAGTAGCAAAAAATTAGAAACTAATCTTCTGGGATTAGCTATGATACGTAAACACAGTAGAATATTGCTGTACTACAAGAAACAAGGAAATTGATAGTTTCTGAGAAAACTGGGAAGATGAACTGATTGAGAGCTAAATGAGCAAAACCACTTTGAAAGACAAGAGAACTCTGATCAATGCAACAACAAACCATGACAGAGATGGATATACAAAATGAAATAGGCATTTTTGGAGGATATGGCCAATGTGGAGATTTACTTTGCTTAGCTATGCATATTTTTCACAATGGTTTTCTTTTTTGCTGGGAGAAAGGAAAGGAGAGAAAAAACAAATGTTTGCTAATTTTAAAAAAACAAAATTTAATTAAAAACTGGTTTATAACAATAAATAATATAGGAGATTTAGGGGCAGTGTACTGTAATGGATAGGGCTGGCCTCCAGACCAGATAGATTCAAGTCCCGGCTGACACCTAGTGGCTGTGTGAACTTGGGTAAATCACTTAACCTTTCAGTCTGTAGGCAACTCTTCAAGATCATAAACTGCAGAAAAGTTACCGAACCTCCCTTTTCCCCATTTCATAGCTTATGTGAGTATGCAAGCTTGTTAAATCCCAAGGCAAAGGGCCCTCCAAGAGCAAAGGAAGATGAAAACTTGAGGACTGTTTGTATTTGTATCCCCAGCGCTTTGCATGGAAGTAAGAACTTGTTAATTCCAAACAAGCATATAAGTTTATATGTCTAGATTATTTTTTACAGAGGACGGCATTGCATCATAAAGGCTACCAGGAGAAAGGCAGAGGAAAGGACGCTGAGCATTACTCCTGGCTTGCAGCCAGAGGTGTCGAGAACCCCAGAGCCGTCTTAGGCGGCTACGCATGCGCGGACACGCCAGGAAGTAGCGGCTGCGCACGCGCAGAGACACTGCCCCTCCCGTGAGTGGCTCTTGAGTAGACAAAGTGTGCAAAACCGGTTATGCGCCCGATCTCCTTCTGAGAGGAAAGAGAAAAAGGGGGAGTGGGGGAAGGGTGGTTTTGAGAGGGTGACTGCTTTGCCACTTCGGGTTGAATCGCCCCCGTCCTGTCCATCTTCTCACTGTGGCATTGGGGCAAGGATGCCAGGCAGGGGGACAGGCCGGGAGGATGGAACCGAGCCCGCCACTTCCCCTAAACTTCCCTTAAACAAGGAGGAACTCAACTCGAAGGTAAGGTTGGGATCATCACAGTGGAAGCGCCCCCTGCAGGAGAAGGGAGGGTTTATGGGTGAGCCGCCCTTCACATGCCCTACCTACCCTGCGCTGATCCCCTGCGCCTACCATGCGGCCGGAAGCTGCCTCCCGGCAGCCGGAAGGGCTCCGTGCGCCTCCGATGATACCGGGAGGAAGTGTGGTCAGTGCGGGCGACTCGCGTTCCCCCGAGGCCCCTTCGCCACCACTCGGTACCCGAACTTGAGTGTGGAGAAGCAGCAGCAGGCCACGAGAAGGGACTGCGGGTTATTTCTCTTTCCCCTGCCCGGTCTTTTTTAAAGGGTTACGAAGCCCTTTGGGTCCAGCGGCCTGGGGAGTTGTGGGCAGGAGCCGGGGTGACTGGAAGGGGGCATGAGGTGCAGATTGAGCTAAGCGTCATGGTGTACGTCACGATTCTAGTCTGGGTCGTGGACTTGTCCTGAATGTATGTATGAATGTATGTATGAGTGAATGAACGTAGGTAGTGAGGGAGGTTAGTCGGGCGCTGTTGGCAGGGAGAAGGCCACCTCGTGGGGCGTTGGGGGCACGAGTGGAGGGAAGCTAAGGCGTTACTGGCAGGAACACCTGAGGCAGGTTCCGTAGGCCCCGTGACACTTTTCTCCCTCCCTAAAGCGCAAGGGACACGTCGTTTCAAGCTGAAAAGGTGTATGGAAAAGAATTCTTGTGGCTTAGGAAATGTTATAAGAAAAAGAGCACTGATTTTCTACCCAGAATTGGGACCTTAGTATTTACAGCTATAAAGCACCTTGAAGATCAACTTGTCTAATACCCTTATTTTCTAGGGCAACTAGGTGGTTCAATGATAGGGTGCTGGCCCTGGAGTTAGGAAGACCTGAGTTCAAATCCAGCCTTAGACACTTAATAGCTATGTGACCCTGGGCAGGTCACTTAATCTCTGTTCCCCATAGTTTCCTCATTTGAAAATAGAGATAATAACACCCACTTCCCAGGGTTGTTAATGAAGATTAAATGAAATACAGTTGTGAAGTGCTTTGCACAGTGCCTATCATATAGCAAGTGTTATATAGGTGTTAGCTATTATTATTAGATCTGAGAAATTTGAAGCCCAGCCTATTAAAGTGAGTTGGCCGTGATCACAGAATTAGAATTTAGACCTCTGGCACATGACTCCAAATACCACTCTGACAAGTTCATCTCGGTCTGAATTTTGAATCTGACAGCAGCTACATAGGGGTAGTGCTGGATTTAGATTAATCAATCCGTAAACAAAAATCACATATTATGTGCTAGGCATGATGTTAAGCACTGGGGACATAAAAAGAGGCAAAAGGTACTCCCTGATTAAAAAAAAAAAAAAAGATACTCCTTGCCCTTAAGCATAATCAATGGACGTAGAGGAAGACTAGGGTTTGAATCCCTAACTCAGAAATTGTTTGACCCTGGGCAAATCACTTAATTTCTGAACAGAACGTAACTCATCTATAATAAAGAGTGAATAATAGTATCCATCCCACAGGGTTATTGGAAAGATCAAATTTAATACCATATACAAAGTGTTTACAAATCTTAAGGATTATATAATGTTAGCTATTATTATCCTAGTCAATTTGATTCCCTGAGGGAAATTTTCCTTCTCTGTAGAATGGGGATGTTAATATCGCACTACCATTCTCAGAGGTTTGTTATTAAACCTTAAAGAACTGTATAATGGTGAGCTATTTTTTTCATGGCTAATTCAGTATGAGACTTAGTGACAAGGGAAGAGTCAAATCATTTACTATTAGGACTTAAGCGAATATAATAATATACTAACCAGTCTTTAAAAGTAAGGCTATTCAAAGGGAAGTAAAGCATAGTTTGGGAAGGGTGGTGCTGGTGACACTGTACACTCTTATGTTGGCAGAATATTGTATAATAGGCTCACATATATGCCATTTAAAAATTTGTCTCTTCAAATCTGGCCTCAGACCAAACACTTGACATTTATTAGCTGTGTGACCCTGGGCAAGTCACTTAACCCCAATTGCCTAAAAAAAAAAAGTCTCATATTTGTCTCATAACCTTGTGAGTATTATAAATATTAGTATTCCCATTTCACGTGCAGCAAATTAGATGATCATAGAAGTTGTGACTTGCCTGTGGATACACAATTATCAAGTGGCAAAGCCAGAACAGAAGCTGGATTTTTTCTGATTACTAAGTCTAATGTTCTTTCCAGTACAGCAGTTTGCTACTGTAATCATCAAATTCTTTAGAGTTGGCAGCTGTCTTAGATGTTACCTAATCCAAATCATTTGTTTTACTGCGGTGGTAATCTGTGCACTCGGGGCTATTACCACACCCCCTTCCCCACCATTAATGACAGTCTGCTGGCCAACTTGTAGGGATTCGTATGCAGTCATACAAGTGCTTCATTTTCTTCTTCTCAAAATAACTGCATATCCACCATGCCACCTCCACACTTCATTTAGGTGTTCAGCTCCCCAATTCTGTCCAACATGAAGAGGAAAGGAATTAGAACCTTAAGTTATTACTTTTTTTATCAGCGTTTAAGAAAGTTTATATTAAAAACTAATTTTATATGTACAAACATCTTCTGAACTGCCCATTGTGATAGGGGAGGAGATGATCCTGGACTGTGCCAGAAGAGTGCAAGCTCTGATGATCATGTCAAGCTGAAAGGCTTTTAGAATGGGCCCAGTGATCTGTAAGTCCGTCCTCAGACCAAACTGGAGAAACATGTCTTTGGGTTGGCTGCAAGGTGATGAAATTTTCAGTCACAAGAACTTTCAAGGACCGTCTGCTAAATCATGGAGGGATTACACTCTCCATTGATGGAGAGAGGTAATGCTCTTGTGGACATCACAAAATATACAATAGCACCTTCTGATTCTTATAATGTGCCAGTCTGTTTAGGCATGTGTTTTTGCTTTTTTGTGTAGTTCGGTGATAAACATCATTTACAAGTGGTTCTTTTCAATTATTTCCTTGGGATGTATTTACAGTAGTAAATGACTGAGTCAAAAGACCTTATTGAGTATTGTCAGATTGTTTTCCAGGAAAATTACATGAATTCTTAGTAGACTACTTTTTAGATATTATCAACCTCTATTATAGACATTGTCATGTGTTCCAAATGAAAAGAAGATGATGCCAGCCACCTTATCACATAGAAAATCCTCTCAAAAGACACTTGAGAATGTCTGTTTCAATCTTATTTTTAATAGATTAAAGAACAAAAAGTTGTCGTGGATGAACTTTCCAACTTGAAGAAAAACAGAGTAAGTAATTACCAAATTAATTTTGCACAGTAGGGTATATGATAATAACTGACATAACTCTTTTAACATTTGAAGAGCAGTCTTCTGCATCTCATTTTAGCTTTACAACTTTGGAGTAGGTACAGGTATTATTCCCATTTTACACATGAGGAAACTAAGATTCAAGTTAAATGAATGACCTATTGTCACAACTGTTAAATAGCAAAGCCAGAATTCAGACTCAGATTTTCCTGACTTCAAGTCCATTATGCCACAAAATTTCCTTATATGTTTGTAATTTAACAATTAATAATTCGAAACCTAGCTTTAAAAGTTTCCTAGAATTTTAATCACCTACTTCAGTAAATGATTTCCCAGCAGCATGGTCCTTTGTATACTTTTGCTACCTGTCCCCTTCTCACATCCACTGGGATTACTTAATCTGGAAAAAAGAATGATTATGACTGTTAGTGATGGGCTTCCACTCTAGTGATAAAGTATGCTACTAAGCAAGATTGTGGAAATTCTTCACATAAAATAGAATCCAATCTGCCCTCCTAGAAACAAACCCTAACCCTATCTCTTTGGGCATGATAGCATTTAATAAACCTGTGGGGTAAGTGAGCCAGATAACCTTTAGCAGATGCTTCTAGCCCTCTGATTCACTGTGTAAAGCCAGTAGTCATTTCCTTCTAGGTGCCTTTTTTAGTGCTCCAGCCTTGGCCCTGTGGGACCAGTATTGAAGTATATGATCTTTTTTTTTGCCCTTTTTTTTTTTTTTTAAAGTGAGGCAGTTGGGGTTAAGTGACTTGCCCAGAGTCACACAGCTAATGAGTGTCAAGTATTTGGTCTGAGGCCGGATTTGAAATCAGGTCCTCCTGCCTTCAGGGCTGGTGCTCTATCCACTGCGCCACCTAGCTGCCCCTGAAGTGTATGATCTTAAAGACATTGCTGTAGTTCCATAAGGCAGGCATTGCCATAGTATCATAACAGAAGCTGACTTGGATCTGAAAAGTGCAAGATTTCTATTCCTTTATAATTCATATGTTACCAAAACCACAGCTGTATCTATGATACATGCAAAATTCACTGTTGTGGCTTTTTAATTATGTTTGTAGTTTATAGTGCCTTTCCTTTGTTCAATTCTGTTATGTTTCCTTATCTTTTATATTCTTGAGCAATAAGTTCCTGTTTTATATGTGAGTAATTTAAGACTATTGATTTATAGTTGAAAGCGACCTCAGAGACCATCTAATCCACCCCCTTATTTTACATTGGGGAAATTGAGAACTCAGAAGGAAATGTGACCAAGGTCATATAGTTACATGCCATCAGAGGAAGAATTTGAAGCCAGGTCCTCTGACTTAAGAGCCTGTAGTACCCTTTCTACTTCATGTTGTCTTTAGTATCTTGCTTCAAAAGTACAGTATACTTACTTTAAATTACATTGAGAACAGATAGAAATACTTATTTAAGGGAAATAGGTATGGTTGGTGAATAAAAAAAAGAATGAATTGCATGACACAATGATTCTTATAAATCTTTCACAAGCTTCACTTGTCTATTTAGTGCAGTCAGTAAGCATACAAACTGCCTGTTAACAGTTTTGGCAAAATAATACATTTGAATATTTTAAAAACCATGCAAGTCACTGTGGCATAGTGGATAGATAGCTAGTCTCTGAGTCTGAAAGGCTGGCATTCAAGTCCTGACCAACACGTACTGGCTGTATTGCACTAAGCAAGGCACTTATCTATAAATTTCCCAAACAACTTTCTAAGACTTAAGTTGGTGAGCAGGAGCTTCTTACACCAATGAAATCATAGATTCAGACAAAACAAAACCATTTTTCATTTATTTTAGGCAATTGGGGTTAAGTGACTTGCCCAGGGTCACACACCTAGTAAGTGTCAGGTCTTTGGTCTGAAGCTGGATTTGAACTCAGATCCTTCTGACTTCAGGGCTGGTGCTTTATCCACTGTGCCACCTACCTGCCCCAAAACAAAACCATTTTAAAGATTATTAATTGCTGGTAGTTGGGAACTGCCAGTATAACCATGTATGGTTAGTTTTTAAGTAGGTATTAGGAATTCAGTCATTCAGTGATTGCACATGTTATAAAAAATTTGCTACTTAATATATCAAATGTTGATATAAGCCTAAAATGTTTTGTTTTGTTTTTTGCAGAAAGTTTATAAGCAGCAACCAAACAGCAACATATTCTTTCTTGCAGACAGAACAGAAATGCTCTCTGAAAGTAAAAGTGAGTTTTTTTCTGTTATATATTTATTATTCATATTTGTGTAGAGTTCCATGAAAAAAAAAAAGATAATTGATTTTTTTACTAACATGTAAAAAAAAGTCATACTAAATATGTTGCTGAGTATATATTAGTAAAGAATTAGTCATGTACATTTCAGTTAGATGAGGTTGTTTGATCTTTGAATTAAACCTTCAGAAATATAGAGGACCACAAAATTATACTAGCCTGCCTTCTACCCAGGCAGTTTATACTGTACTTTAAACATAATAAAACAAATAAAATGATTAGTATTCTTGTGTACTAACAGGGTGTCTCATTCTGTAGAACTGGTTTAGTTGGACTACCTGCATTATAAGTTAATAGGTCTCTAAAAGATTTACTTAATTTAATATTTCCTATTTTTTTCCACAGACACATTAGATGAGTTGAAAAAAATCCACCAGGAAATAGAAAATACAGAAAAAAACAAAATCAAGAAATAAGTTTGCTAGATTGCACATAATGTGTGGCATTTGTTGTTCAGTCACTTTATCCATTGAACATGGTGGGTATGATTTTTTGCATAAGAATCTGCTCCATAATCTTAAACGACGAGGACCCAACAGTAGTCAACAGGTGTTAAAGATTGATACTGATTATCATTGTTTGTTTTCTGGTCATGTCCTTCACTTAAGAGGCCTTTTGACTCCCCAGCCTATTGAAGATGAAAAAGGCAATGTATTCCTTTGGAATGGAGAAATCTTTGGTGGAATATATGTAGGAGCTGAAGAGAATGATACGCAAATTATGTTTAATCATCTTTCCTCATTTAATAATGAATCTGAAATTATGTCACTTTTTTCAAGCATCCATGGTCCATGGGCTTTTATTTATTACCAGGCTTCTAGTCATTGTGTGTGGTTTGGTAGGGATTATTTTGGTCGTCGTAGCTTACTTTGGCATTTTAGTAACACAGGGAAGAGTTTCTGCCTTGCTTCAGTGGGCACTGACGCTGCTGGAATAGTAAACCAGTGGCAGGAAGTTCCAGCGTGTGGAATTTTCAGAATTGATCTCAAATCCTCTGCCATTTCCAAACACATAGTTTTAAAACTGTATCCTTGGAAATACATTTCTAAAGAGAATACAGTAGAGAAAGTTGACAAGAATCTTAATCAGATTTCAGATGATTTGCCAAAATTTGTATCCATTGAGATAAATGAAGCCAGACTTTGTCTTAAGACACCTGTTGCTCCATTAAATACAAAGTTGCCACAAGGTTCATTTCAATCTGATCATAGTTCCCATCTCCCAGCTACTATAGAAAATCTTCAGGTTTTTCTTAAAGATGAGCACATAAAGAAAGCAGTTCATCAGTTAATTCATGTCTTAAGTGAAGCAGTAAAGAGACGGGTTTTATGTTTATCTAGAAGTGAAATTCTATTCCTAAATGATGACCTTTCTAAAGCCTCTACTAAGAAGGCAAATATTGCAATACTTTTTTCTGGTGGCATTGATTCCATGGTTATTGCAAGCCTTGCTGATCGACATGTTCCTTTTGATGAACCAATTGATCTTCTTAATGTAGCTTTTATGACTAAAGAACAGACTGGCCGTACTGCTTTCGCCAAAAAAAGTGGTAAGCCTAAAAAACATCTTGAAACATCTTCTGAGGAAAACACTAAGGGACTTGCTGCCACAGCTAATAATATTAAGGACCAGAATTTTAATGTGCCAGACCGACTCACTGGCAGAGCAGGACTAAAAGAATTGAAAGCTATAAACCCTTTAAGAATTTGGAATTTTGTTGAAATTGATGTTTCCCTGGAAGAATTGCAGAGAATGAGACACCACCGGATAAGCCAATTAGTTCAACCCTTGGATACAGTTTTGGATGACAGCATTGGTTGTGCGGTCTGGTTTGCTTCTAGAGGAGTTGGCTATGCTATGAAGGAGGATGAAATGAAACCATACCAAAGTTCTGCAAAGGTATGGTATAGGTTTCTTAAATCATAATAATTTCTTAGTCTTACTACAGATAACAGGTTAGTAAATGGTGAGTAGATAATTGCATGATCAAATTGTTAGAGAAATAACGTAGATGAATCTTTGGCCGATATTGTGTAATGGAGAAATTCCGATGTTCTCCATCATAAAACAGACATTTCCTTTAAAAGTTTTTATAGGTGGTGCAGTGGATAGAGCATGGGCCCTGGATTCCGAAGGACCTAAGTTCAAATCTGGCCTCAGACACATAACACTTACTAGCTGTGTGACCCTGGGCAAGTCACTTAACCCCATTGCCTAACCCCCCCCAAAAAAACTTTTTATAAAGGGAGAACTTTATTCCTAAATTATTAATATTGCCAAGGCTAGAAACTTACATAGCGGACATATAATAAATGTTTATTGAATGAAGATTTAATTCACTTACTAGCTTATTGTAGAACATATTTTTAACATGAAATAAAAAACAATAGCATGCTTAAACTGTAGATCAGTATAATACATCTTTTTTAGTATATCTAAAAAAATTTTATGCCTTTGTGATTTATGAATTGCTGTATTTGGAAATGTTTTCCTCTCTGCTGTAATTTTATTATGGCTTTTCCTTATTATAGTCTTATTTTACTTATCCTTGTATTAAAAAAAACTTACTCAATTTATTCAAACTTCTATAGGTAGTTCTTACTGGGATTGGTGCAGATGAACAGCTTGCAGGATATTCTCGTCATCGTGTTCGCTTCAAGACACATGGTCTAGAGGGATTAAATAAAGAACTAGAAATGGAATTGGGTCGAATTTCTTCTAGAAATCTTGGCCGTGATGACAGGGTTATTGGCGATCATGGAAAAGAAGCAAGGTAATCCAAATGACATGTGGTTTTGCTGAGGAGGTTAGAAAAGGAGTCTCAATTAAAAACTGTTAAAGATAATATAATCCACTTTTCTGTTACAGATGAACAAAGTCTAGAAAAGCAGTGGCTTGATTAAGGTCACACAGCAAGTTAGGGAATATGTGGGTTTACCAACTTCCAGTCCAGGGCACTTTATACTACCTAAAAGCTGGGCCTTTTAGATTTTTTTTTTTAAGGGTGATAACATAAATAGAAACATCAATGATACCATCTTGGACTTATATTACAAATAACCTTCAAAGAATACAAAATGTTTTCAAATGTTTAATCTTGTGTACCTGCTCTAAGATTTTTTTATGTATAACTATTTCTGGAGGCATCATATAAAGAAAGACACAGACAATGAAATAGTCTCTAAAGTAGTTAAATGTGCATATTATATCACTAATTTTGGCCTTTTATTTTGCTCAGTTATTTGTTACATATATTTAAAATTTACAAAGTAAATTTTCAAAGCCTGTACACTGTTAACAGCTGTTTTCTTTGTCATTGAGATTCTATGAATTTATATCCTAAATGTGCCTGTTTAGTTTAGGGAGAGGAAATTTATTTTCTTTATTGAAAACAAATTTTAAAAGACTTGAATTATTATATATAAAACATTATTTTACCCTCAGAAAAAATACATTAGGAAAGTTCTTAGGAATTATACTATGTTACCATTATACAGATCATAATCCTATTAATAAATACTATTGCATGTTAATAGAAGTAAAGAGGCTAGTTTACTATCTGTCTTGGTAATTAAACCACAGTAAAGGTGCTTTATTGTTATTTACAATTCTTCATATCAAAAAATACTATGTTATATGCTTTTTTGGCCAGCTTTAGTTAATGAGGAATCACTCTATAATATTATTTGGCACTTCCCATTTGTGTTATGGTAATATTTGTTTTTGAGAGGTGATAAGGACTGGTCAGTAGTACTTTAAAGTAGTAAACAGGCTAATAATTATTGGTAAGTAAAAGATTAGCAGAGCCAGAAAAGGAAGAAGTGAAAACAGTTGAGACAAGTCTGAAGTTGGAGATTATTGCTAATGTTATTAATAACCTAATACTTGACCCTCATAATAATACTTGACTTGTCATACTATCTCAGTGACTCTTAAAATTTGAATATCATTAAATAAATATGACTGCTTTGAAACATAAAGGATTTGACACCTTGATACCTTATTTTTCATGCCCCACAACCTTTATTTCTGTGGTTTGGAAGTGATACAAAAGACAAAAATGTTCCTTATGTTCATATTTCTTTTTAAGTAAATCCTAGAGATATTTATTTGACAGTTTAAAGCTATTCTTTGTTATTTGACAAATATTGAGAAATATCTCTTTTTACCTTGATTAACTTGTATTTTGTATTAATTCATTTATTCCATAACCAGAAGAGTTTTCATAATTACATTGCTAGAAGTAGTACCTTCAAAGTTCAATTTTCAACTAGAATTATGTGTGTTAAATAACTGTATTAAAACAGTAATGATCACAGATGGGCTTGTTTTTCAACCTGTTTTCATAAAAATTTTATTTTCAATTTAGGTTTCCTTTCCTTGATGAAAATGTCGTCTCCTTTCTAAATTCTCTGTCGATTTTGGAAAAAGCAGACTTAACTTTGCCCCGTGGAGTTGGTGAGAAATTGATTCTGCGCCTTGCAGCGTTAGAACTTGGTCTTACAGCTTCTAGTGTTCTGCCAAAAAGAGCCATGCAGTTTGGATCTAAAATTGCAAAAATGGAAAATAGTCATGAAAAGGCCTCTGATAAATGTAGTCGACTCCAAGTGTCATCCTCAGAATAACATCTTGTTGAATAGGCTCTTCAGTGTTGGTGTATACATTACAACATTTATTGAATTATTACATAAAATAAAATATTTTTCTATTGTGTATTGTAGTTAATTTATACTATTTTCCTTAACTTACAAACCAGTTGCTTAATACTAACAGAAATTGCTGCTTTTTTTTAAATGCACTTGAAAGTACAACTTTGATATTTTAATATGACAGTGATATTAACAGAGTTTTGAACCCATATTTGCTGTATGCACTGAAACATAGGGTAACATAATGTGAATCTTGAAACACTTAAGTGCATCCTAAAAACCTCACTTGTGATTGAAGGTATTTAAAGTCAAGTAATCCATGAAATCAATACCTTAGCTATTTACTTAAAGATCAGAATTGTAACTAAGAATTTTGTGCCTGGATTGAGTTGCACAAAATGCTCTTAAAGATTTGGGGAGGGGGGCAGCTAGGTGGCGCAGTAGATAGAGCACCGGCCCTGAAGTCAGGAGGACCTGAGTTCAAATCTGGCCTCAGACCAAACACTTGTCCCTCACGAGCTGTGTGACCCTGGGCAAGTCACCTAACCCCAATTGCCTGAAAAATTTAAAAAAAAAAGATTTGGGGAGGAATATGTCATCTGGTAGACTCCTGTTCTATTTTTTTTCCTTCTAACTAGGTGCTAAGCTAAGTTGTTCAGGCTGTTGAAGGACTGAAAGTGTTCTCAGCAGGATCACAGATTTTTAATGCCTCAGGAACAAAACCCCAGTTATTCTGGGGAAGTTATATCTCTGATTAAGATTAAATTCTAGGTTTCTTAAAAAGTGTAAGGAACATTTCAGAAAACAGGGTTAAATGCTGCCTTGCCACATAGTGGCTACTTGATCCCAGGTGAGTCACTTAACTTCTCAGTGTTGAGTGAAATCTCTAGGTAGTAGGAGCTTAATAAAGTTTTGACTTGAGTAAATATTACCCTCTTTCAGTACAAGGGCTACTCCTGAACTATTTGAGTAAAAGCAAAGGACTGAGCTGGTAGAAGTTCTCACATTGCCTTGTTGCCTTTAATCCCTAAAATAATTAATCTGCTGCTGCCAGTGCTTAACTTGGTTTCAAGAGTCTCGGTTCTCTGGACAAATTAAGTGGAGGTGATAGTGACTACCAAACGTGGTGAAAGAATCTCAGTGTAATCCCAAATTTGTAAAAAGTTTTCAGGCCTGTGAGTTTCCATAAAACAGGACATTTACTTGTTCAGTTGTTTCTAACTCTTCATGACCCCATTTTCGGTTTTCTTAGCAAAGATACTGAAGTGGTTTGACATTTCCTTCTCCGTCTCATTTACAGATGAGGAAACTGAGGCAAACAGGGTTTAGTGATTTGCCCAGGGTCACACAGCTAGTAATTGTCTGAGGTCGGATTTGAACTCAGGTATTCCTGACACCAGGCCCGGAGTTCTATCCATTGGGCCCCCTAGCTGCCTTTCCCTAAAACAGGGCATTTACATGTAGTAATTATTGTTAAACCACTTTGTTTGAATTGCCCTTCCATTGTCTACGTATGGAAGGTGAGGCGAAATCTTTTGCCTGGGCAATTCATAAAAAAACAAAGAATACTTTCTAACATTTTTGATTTGGCAACTGGAATTTATCATTTTCAGTTACTGAGTAAAAATGGAGGATAATGTGATTTAAGCTTAGGACATGTAATATTAGCTCTCCTATTATTCTCCATAGTTTTAAAAGTAAGCATCTGGGTCTATAAGGGAGGAGTCACTATGTTGCCTAGGTCCATTATGGGTCACCCTTAAAAGAACTCAAGGTGTCGTGATTTTAAAAGTTCAAGAGAGACATAGTTTCTGGGTAATTTAATGATGTTATTAATAAGGCCAGCATGTTATTAATAAAAATTTGGTCATTTGGCCATCTCTCAGACCAAAAGACATCCTGGTGGTAGGCTCACAGTTTACATACGCTTAAGGGATTAGTAGGTGTTCAATAGGGGCTGAGAGTGACATGTTACCCTTGGACCAAGACATTTATTTCTATACCCAGACCACCCCCAGCCTAGGGCAGTCCATTCAAAGAATGAGTACCCTATCCGAGCCTGAGCAGAACACAATGGCTACTCCACTTGGATGGGGTCTGAACTAGAAAATTGGTTCAATCTCATTATCAGCAATGTCCTTAGAGAGACTGAAGTTTTTAAAATCAAGACTTTATGAAAAGGGGAGAACTCTGGATATCCCCAAAGCATTGGTTAATAATAATTTCTCTCACTGTACTTCTGAGAAAGATCACTGCTACAATTTTAAGATCCAGGTAACTTACTCAGTTTTACAATAAGCCTTAAGCTCTGAGCCATTAAATCCATTTACACAGAAGTTCTAGGTAGCACAATGAATAGATTGCCAGGCCTGAAGTCAGGAAGACTTGCCTTCCTGAATTCAAATCTAGCCTCCATTACTAGTTGTGTGACCCTGGGCAAGTCCTTTAACCTGGTCTTCCTCAGCTCATCATCTGTAAAATGAGCTGGAAAAGGAAATGGCAAACCACTTTAGTATTTTTGCCAAGAAAACCCCAGTGGGGTCACAGAGTCAGACACGCCTGAAAAACAACAAAATTTCACAAATTGCTTTATTTCTCTTTGTAAACAAGGACTTAACTTTTTTTAAACTTTCAACTTTTCTTTCCTATCTCATTCTTTTCATAACCACAATATTCTTTCCTCTTTTCTTCCCATTGTCTTAGTGAACTCAGTAATATACATTTCAAAGAAAAAACAAATATATCTAGACCTCCTCCACAATCCCTCTTCCACACATCAAACTAAATTTTGTTCCTGTAGGGATTCCTTCAGTCTACAGGTTAAATGGAAGGCTTAGACATCTGTATCTGTGTTGCAATGAAATAAATTATGAAACACAGGAAGATGAGTATAGAGAGGCTATTTTATGGCCTTTAGTAACTATATCATGGCAAATTGTTTTTAGGAAACATGTTTTTGTTTGATATGTTTCTAATATTAGCACAAGTTATTACAACAAAATTTCTG